AATTCCGAGACGGATACCGCAAACACCTCAGAAACGGAAACAGTTCATTCTTCTGAAGAAAACCCTATTCTAGGTGCACCCTACGTTAATAAGGCAGTAAATACATTTAAAAATCAAGTCATATTTAAAGACAAACCTTATGTAGATACAACAAAGTTATTCGAAACCAAGAAGACAATCCTAATTTTTATAAATAAAAAACCAATAAGAGGAGAAATACAAATACTTTTAAGAGATTATTTACCACCAGATACCTATTGTTTACATTTTTCAAATATAGAATTAGAACTTGTGATGATAAGAATTTTCCAGAAAACATTCAAAAACAATTTATACAAACTAGTCATCTCAAACACTTTACTAGAAGATGTATCACACCAAGATAATCAGAAAGAGATAATAGATAGATACCATACAACAAAAACTCCACATAAAGGAATGACCGAAAATATCAAGAATATCAAACAAAGATATTATTGGCCAAGTCTAGAAAGAGCCTTAATTAATTTTGTAAATACATGTGAAATATGTCCGAAATCAAAATACGACAGACAGACTTCCTTACAAAGTAAATTATAAACCAACACCAACGGGATCCAAACCCCTTGAGCATATTTATATAGATATATACTCATGGTCAGGTCAGAAATATCGAACGAAAATAGACAATTTTTCTAAATTTGCCGCAGCATACCCGGTAAATGAAAAATCGATAGAAATTTGTCAAACCAAGTAAAATTACCACTGATAACGCACAAACTTTCGCGAGTAATCTAAAACAAGACCTCTTTAAAACCTATAGGATTGAATTGCATTTTACTACAGCGTACAATCCAAATTCAAACTCGCCGATCGAAAGATTTTATTCGACGATAAAAGAAAGCATTATAGCTTTACGAATTGACCATCGTACCAAAACAAATCAAGAATTAATTAATACAGCAATTTTAAACTATAACAACAATATTCATTCAGCACATGACTACACCCCTTTTCAGATACTGAAAGGAAACGTCAATTATCAATTAAACTTTGAAAAAGGCCTAAATAAGCTACAAACTGATTACGTTTATAAGCTTGCTCAAACATTCAAGGAACTTAATGAAAAAATAAACTCAAAATTAAATGCTAAAAAGGCAAATGTGTTGAGTAAATTGAATCAAAAACTTGAAAATGACCCAGAAATATCCGAAGCTACACCACAACTTATCAGTACACCGCGAAAATTAGCTTTAAAAATACAACCTAAGTATAAGAAAGCTATATTCAAAAATAAAAGACATCCCAAGGATATCAAAAAAAGATCGTTATTTTCAGGAATTAAATATGAAGATTATCTTCGCATTCTTCACAGTACTACCGCTACTCATCAATGCTCAATATAAGATCGAAGAAATAACAAATCCTTTTCTACCAAGGAAATAAACCAAGTATCATCATGTTTATTATTATGTAAATTTAACTAATATGGAAGATTGCATAGAGTCAACAAAATTAACTATTTTACAAGTTAATCAAACTTTAGGCAATTCAAGTAATATATCACCTTATTTACCTATACACGAACTTTTAATTGTGTGAACAAATAATTTTATGCACTTCAGGGAAAGTACCCTTTTAATCCCTGTTTAATCCCCGGGATTAAATTTCACTTTATTTCCCGAGGATTAAATTTTTACTTTATTTTTCGGGGATTAAATAAAACAGGTAATAAAAGGGTACTTTTATTCCCCGGGAAATAAAGTAAAGTGCATAAAATAGTGTATACACCTCAGGACTAAAGTGTTTTTCAATCTCTCGACAAATTATAGTATAATAAATTTTTTTTTACTATTAACCTGAGAAGTAGTCATTATTCCATCAATTTTTCTGGGAAAAAATTGAATTTCTCTCCCTATGATAATAATGAAAATAATGAAAAAATACCTAGGTCAATAATGAAAATGACGTCATGACGCAAGGATATTGTCATAACGTAACAGGTTTCTATTGGTTTAATTTCAGTGTCAAACTGTCAAATTTAAAAATAGCAGGTTCCTGTATGTACATTATAGGAAATTACCGTAAGCTGTCGATAGAGGGCAGCACTTCCGACAAGAGAAAATAATTTGAGCACAGGTTTCTAACCTATTTTTTTATTTCCTACGATAGCAGTGGTAAAAAAAATTCTATATATCCCTCGGTAGAGAAAGTCATTATATACCTTACGCATTATAAACCCCGGGGTTTCGCGCCTCGGTTTATAAAAGCGCTCTGTATATAATGACCAACTTCTCTACCTAGGTATATAATGTACTATTTGTCTCGGGATTAAAAATACCACTTTAATTCCTAGGTGTATAATTTACTATAATTGATCAAGCAAAATAAAGAGGACTCTTTAGAGAAGACACAAAAATATCTATACGGTACGTTAGATGCTGATGACGGAGAACGTTATGATAATTACATCAAAACCCTCCAAGAAAATCAAAACACATAACAACAAAGCCCAGACAATTGTTAAAAAATTGACCGAAGATATAGATACACAATTAAATAAAATAAAAAGTAACCAAGAAACTTTCTTAGCCCGAATTAATGACCAAAACGATAACGTAATCTGAGACAACAACGACGTACTTCATTCTTTTACTTGATGTTTTAGAAAATATTCTACGTATCATTCATGGGACACGCACTAATGTACAAACGGCAATTAATTTCGCAGAAATAAACATAATGCATCACAGTATATTTAAGTATCAAGAGCTACGAGTCATAATCTCGAAATTTGATCCCAGCTCTCGAATCCCTTTTGATAACATTATAAAATACTATGAAGTTGCACACGCAGACGTCACCATTAAGAATGACCTAATCATATTCTACGTTGCAATTCCTTCGATATCAGATAAACCTTACATTCTTTATCGCATATATCCAATTCCACTATACAACCAGATAGCGATATTAAGAAACCCTTATTTGATGAGATCTAATGACAACTTTTATAATATAAAAGAAAACTGTCTTAAAATCGAAGACATATCATTGCCACATTAAATTACTCAATCAAAATGAGCCCTGCGTTTATCAAACAATGAATTTAACCAATCATTGCCCAATGACTCCTATCGAATATAAGGAAACTTCTGTCACACAATTAGATGACAATTCCCTTATAATTATCCCAACATCAAAAGAAAGCATTTATTTCCAATGTCCAATGTCCCAGCCAACATAGCGTTGAAGTTATGAGTTACATTTTATTGATTTTACCCTCAATTTGTAAAGTCAAAATTCAAAGAAATAGTTATGATTCCCAAAAACCAGACATAATCAATTTGAGACTAAAACTACCATCAATCAATATTGACGAAAAGTTGATACAAAATATCGAAGCTTTACAATTAACAGAAATAAATCTTGAAACTATAAGAGAAGATTTAGAAAATGCTAAAAAACTAACTATCCACCCTCTTAAGGAATTCAATATTGGTAGTTCAAGTTTATCCATAATTTTTATTATTATATTAATCATTGTAATCATAGTTATAATATTCTTTGTATGTGGTCATTATAATTATTGTAAGAAAAATCAAACTGATGTAAAAGTGAGCATAGAATTGAAACCTTTCGAAAATCATTCCCAATTTTCTCAAACTTAGTGGGGGACGAATTATATGGCCACTTCTGACGACATATTATTAAAATAAGGAGTGTTAGCAAGCTTTCGCTTATTCAGCATTTATTATTATATAAATACAGGCTTGCAGCAGTATAGAATTTATGTCTTTAAGTTAGCTTTGTCATAGAAACATAATATATGTAATTTCGTGTTTCAATTAAAATAAAACTTTATAAAAACACAAGTTGCATTGGAGTAAATATAATTGGTGCATAAATTATATGGTTAGATATGTATTGTTTACTCTTTTAAGACCTAATTAAAGAAACTAGATACTCTTTTTTATACTGTGAACTCTTTGCTTAGGAAATTAGTTCCACATACAGGGTGTAAAAAAATAGTGTACTGGACTTCGAGGTGTGATACTACATATGAAAAAAGGAAAAAAAGTTTCTAAGAACATATTCCCTAAGATGCTCCCTGAATAAGTTACAGCCCTTCAAACGGTTGATGAAAATAATAGATTTTATTTATTTTCAAGAACAGTGGCAAACTATTTTCCTTGAAATTTGGTATTCTTGCATACATTTGAATGCCAAAGCGAATGGTGATAATAAAAAAAAGTCATTACAGTTCTGAAAGGGTTGTTTCTATAGGGGTAGACGATAGTTACTCACAAAACAAAAGAGCATCTTAGGGCATATAGTCATAGGAACTTTTTTTCTTATTTTCATATGTAGTATTACCACTCGAAGTCCGAACCACTATTTTTTTATTATTACTATTATATATCACTTCGTTGTTGTAAAAGACAAGATGTTGGATATAAAATGTTACTGGCGCAGTTGGTAGGATACAGGGAAGGATACTATCTTTACGGTAGAAAATTTACAATCTAACAATAAGCTATTGGTTATGTAAATGGGGAAAATTCTGATTCAAAATTACTGCGATAGAGAATAAAATTATCAGAATTTATGACATAGAATATAAAGAGGGAATACTTAACATGAATTCAAACGCATTGTCGAGACCTGTGTTACAAATTCGTGCCATACATAATTCAGAACACAATGCAAACTTGACAACGGATTCAGGAGAAAAGTTTTATAGAAGAAATTGGGAGAAATGCTAAAAGATACACCCTTTCGAATCACCACAAATATTTACGTTGCACCTGGACACTGTTTACGGTAATCTACTTCAATGCCAACAATTTCTTTTTCGCAATTATCTAGAAAATTTCTACTCGTATGCGATTTGGAATCTGTTTATTGGAGATTATACCTCAATTAATAATGTGACAAAAACTTATTTGAAACAATATTGGTAGACGTCTGAATGCCGTGAATTCTGTGGTAGAGATTGTTTTTCTCGAAAGACCCAAATTCTTCAGTATTTTTACCCATTTTCCAGTCGAAAATCGAGCGCAACACGCGGACAGCGCAAAATCGGGCCAAGAAAAACTCTTCGTAGATGGTGCCCCCTGCAAATTCGCCAACCTAACAGCGCGAAGGTGCACTGGAAGAATTTCAATAAATAAAGATGTTTATATTAGTTTGTTCAATTGATTGGTATACATTTAGTTATTGTTTAATTTGTATGGCGATAGAGGTTTGGTTTGATAAAATGAGCCAGCTAGTTTTATTTTGTTTTGAAGTTCTTCAGGCATTGTTTGGATTTTTATGACTTATTTACTGATAGGTGGATTGAAGTTTTGAATTAAAGCGGTTGGAGGTTAGTTATGATGGAGTAAAGTTATTAGGATGGAAGGTTCTTCTTGACGATGTTGTGTTTTAGGTCACGTGGTTTGCTTGACGCGCGCCAAATGGAAAGGTTGTGTCACTGGTTTTTGGGGTAGAGTGTGGTGATAGTAGGATGGAACCTACGTGATGGTTCTTACCTTGCAATGTTCACAGTTGAAAGCGATAGAATAGTTTTGGGCGCAATCGTAGCGCAGCAGGAGGTCGGCGTGGCTGCAAGTAGCTTGAGAGGCCAGGTCGTCGGTTTCGAGGAGTTCCTGCAAGAGAAGGCGACAGGTACGGGTATCGTGAAAGGCAGCCTCTGGTAGGGCCTCAGCGACCTGGTGCTCGCAGCAGTGACGCAGCCGAAGGTTAGCCAACGCGGTACGGCGCCGCCCGGGCGACAGGTCGCGGCTGCACACTTCGTCTTTGTGCGATTCTTGCAGAAAATGAAGGCACTGTTTTGGGGCGATGTTGGGGGCACAGGGTGGGGCGCAGGCCGCGCATGGGGCACCCAAGACCACAGCGGCCACGACAGCGGCCATCAGGAGCAGCAGGCCCGGCTGGGCCCGCCAGGGCATTCTGCGGGGCGATGGGGCGTCACGAGGCGCGGGGGCATCGCTGCGGGCGGCCGGAGGGCCCCCCCTCGCGGCCCCAGGGCCCTCTAGGCGCTCGCGCGGGCCCCCAAAGGCCCTCGCTCATGGTGCAGCATGCTCTTTAGGGCTCGCGACGGCGGACTCGCGCATCACTCGGCACTTTTGCACTGCCGCCGCACGAGGAGTTGCTGTGGGCTTTTTCGCACGGCCGCCATCTTGACTGAGCACGTCTGCGGCGCCCGCCCGGGCCTCTCCAGGCGCCGGTCGATCGTCGCGCGCTTATGCGACATCAACGCCCTCTCCCTTAATCCAGACGCGACCTCGTAATTTCCAGGAATTTTCCCCGACCTGCAAGCAATCGATCTTATCCGTTAGTTGCGCTTCCGGAAACTGGGAAGCGTTCTCTTACAGACGTAGACATGTTCCCAAGAATAGGAATGGGCGAAAAGAGACAATTTTGAAATAAAAGCTACGTTCCACAAAAATAATGTTAATACTTAGGTATGTAGTAATAATGCTGTGTATAACAAAAGGCCAATGGAAGAATCTAACTGTTGAGAATATAGGTCAAATTGATTAGCTTAGCCATTACGTAATGCATTTCCCATAGAGAAAGCTGTACCAGTACTCTAGAGAAGGAAACTTGTTTGTATATTTGATATACATTTTGACCAAGTTCAATAGGAGTTAATTTTTTTGCTGATTTACTATATTTTTCAGCTAATTTGAATTTTTCATTTGCTTTTGCATCATGAATAAAAGCAGCATTCTTACATTCTGCAGTAAAATTATTTTGGTGAGTTGGGATCAAAGATCTCAATGGTCTGCCATATAAGTTGGAGATTTTCCAAAAACATTCCGTGTATTTCTCCATTCTAGTAAACCTTTGTAGTAACTACTTTTTTTTGTTGAAATTACCCTTAGTTGTAAATTTTATTATGAGGGATTTCATGACTTTAACAGCAGCTTCGGCATGCCCATTACTTGCCGGATCATGTGTATTGAAGGCGCAAAAGCTTCATTCCACTTTTTTTGAAATGTTTCTTGAAGCATATTGACTACCATTATCTGATCAAAACCTAACAGGTACGCCAGTATCGGCAAAAATTTTGAACAGATCATTTATCATCTGTGAACTGCTTGGATCTTTGTTATTGTACTGAGTAACTATTGGTCATCTCGAAAGTCTATCGACATAAACCATAAATTGTCTTGTTTCTGTACTGAATAAATCCGATGAAACGTCTTCTTCAAATAGCCGGCTTGGAAGGTTTTCAATCATGTAGGTCTCCATTTGGTAAGGATGCTCCGTTTTTCTGACAAGCTTCCACGCAATTCTAAATATCGCTCTTCATTGCAGGCCAGTAATCTGTGTGACGGTCTCTACTTAAAGTTTTTTCGATTCCTTGATGTGATGCATGCAATTTTCCAGTTATTGATTTTCGACATGACTCTGGAATTAAGATTCGAGTTCAACGATTCCAGTAAGGAATTAAAATTAGTTGAAGGTTGTTTTTTGATGTTGGGAAACGATTTTTGAATTCTAATTTTCAATAATTGACATTCCTCATCGTCATTTGTTGCTTTTTGTATTTCCAAAATCATTGGTTCTTATAGATGAGAACCTCTAATTTAATCTGCAGTATTATCCGCTATAGAAATTTGCTTTTGACTTTATATTATTTGAGGCTTCTTTTGCCAGTAAGTCTTCTATAGGTATTTGGAGTGCAAACAGGTGAACGAGAAAGTGCATATGGAATGAAATAACACTTGCCTTTTTTCCATTCGGCGATAAAACTATATCCAGCTAGTTTCCCTTTCAACCTTTGTCGTGGGTTTTCGATCTTGTCTAAAGTATAGTTGTTCAATATTGGTTCCAACGGTTTATGATCAAAAGTAAAGTTGAGTAATCCTTACAGATACAGTTTACATTTTTCAACCGCCCAAGTAACTCCCAACATTTCAATTTCTATCATTGCATAACGTGTTCCGATTTCTGACAAAAACCGAAAGCCACACTGTATATGAGTTTCCATTGATTTTCATCTTTCTGAAGAAGCGTAAGTCCGTGAAGCATCAGTATATAAAGCGACTGGTTTCGTTTGATCAAAATGTGCTAAAATAGGAAGACCATAAAAATGTATTTTTGGTTTTTAGGAGTTTTCTCAATGGTCCAGCTGACATGAGAAATTACCAAGCTTGTTTACAAGTCCCATAAATGACCTTAGTTCGGTGTTATTTTTTGGTGTTGGAAATTTCTCTATAACTTCCAGCTTTTTCTTATCTGCTTTAATACCACATCTACCAACATATGATAGTTCAAGTTGGGCAAAAACAAAATTTTCTGGATTAAGGATTTTATCTTTAACTCTGCAACGTTCCAGTAGGCACATAACTCTGTGATAGTGTTCTTGAAAACTTTCATCATGTAAAAGCATATCGTCGACTACTTTTCCTATGTTTCCATTATCCAGCAGTGCCTCTTTACCTCGGCGACAAAATTCGTCTCCGGAACTTATCAAACCCATAGGTGTACGTAAAAATTCAAATCTTCCTCAAGGCGTTTAAAATGTTGTTGTCTTGACTTTTCAAAGAAGAAAAGTACTTAGATTTTCCATCTATATTTGACACTGCTTCCCACGGTGACTGTGTAGGTCGTTTAACAAAATGGTTCAAGTTTGTGTAATCTATACAGTAGTGGATACAGTGGGGGCAGGGGGGCAGGGGGGCAACTGCTATACTATCAGAGAAACCAAGTACCCCAAATTTTACCTGCAGCTTTCACCTGTACAGGTAGAATGGTTCACAAAATCAGTAGTAGAATAGGATTTTTACAATTTTTAGAGCTAAATATGAAAGATTGCTTAATCAAATATAGATAGGGGCATTGTGCTTTGCAAGAATATAGAATGAAATATAGGGCATCCCATTTGAAAAAAGCTGGAAGCATGCAAAATTTCACATTTCTGACATTCAAATTTTGGTTCTGACCATGGTTCCTAAAAATTCAGCCAAAACTGTACAACTTTTGTATTTACACCTTTCTTCTACCTGGGAAGGTAAAGGCTGTAGGTGGGGTGTCAATATATAAAAAAAACACCCTATACAAATAAGTGGATTATTGCGGAACTTATGGGTGGACCTCTGCGGGACGAGCGCAGCGAGTTCCGCAGCCATCTACTCACCAATATACTGTGGAACTGTTTAAATAAGACACTCACCTGAAACGTGTAGTTTTTGAACTAATGAGAAAAATTCTCAACTGAGTGAACCATGTTAGTATTGTACTTGTACATACAACATATTGGTAAATAGATGGCTGGGTCCACTCATAAGTTCCGCAACAAGCAACAATCCACTCGTTTGTACTTGAATAACTTGTCACTATATTTTACTGGTTTAGTAAAGTACCATTACTAATTCCTGTTCAAAGGAAAATTGACAAAAAGTGGATAATCTTACAAATTCTGACTTTATATAATAAGTTATTGTTCAAATACAAATAAGTGGATTGTTGCGGAACATAGGTGGACCTCTGCGGGACGAGCGAGGCGAGTTCCGCAGCCATTTAATCACCAATATACTATTGAATTGTTCAAGTAAGACTTTCACCTGAAATGTGTAATTTTTAAACTAATGAGAATAGCGCACATTTGAGTGAGTCAGTTTAGTATCGTAATTAAACAACATATTGATGAATAGATGGCTGCGGAACTCGCTACGCTCGTCCCGCAGAGGTCCACCCATAAGTTCCGCAATAATCCCTTCGTTTGTACTTAAATAACTTATCACAATACATATAATACTAGTTTGGTAAAGTAACATTACTAATTCCTGTTAAAAGGCCAATTGACAAAAAGTGGATAATCTTACAAATTCTGACTTTATATATATTTTTATTTATATATATTGTTCAAGTACAAATAAGTGGATTGTTGCGGAACTTATGGGTGGACCTCTGCGGGACGAGCGCAGCGAGTTCCGCAGCTATCTAATCACCAATATACTGTTGAACTGTTCAAGTAAGACACTCACCTGAAACTTGTAGTTTTTCAATTAATGAGAATAACTGACATTTGAGTGAGTCAGGTTAGTATCGTACTTGAAAAACGTATTAATGAATAGAAGACTGCGGAACTCGCTGCGCTCGTCCCGCAGAGGTCCACCCATAAATTCCGCAACAATCCACCCGTTTGTACTTGAATAACTTGTCACATTATGTTACTAGTTTGGTAAAGTAACATTACTAATTCCTGTTGAAAGACAAATTGACTTCCGTTTCCAAATTTCGAGACTTCTTGGACTTCTTAGAGGGTTACATTGTGCAGGTATAGGGAATAGTTCTACAGGGTGTCCCAAAAAGATACCGACAAACTTTGAGGGGTAGTAGGGGACATCAAACCAAGCATTTTTGTTTATATAAACATATGTCCGCAACTGAGCCATTTGGGCTGTAGAGCAAAAAAATTGTTTTCATTCTTCGCAATAATCAAATCACTATTTACTTTTTAATTTTGTTTTATTAACAAATCAATTATGGTTTACAATAATTATTCAAAATGTTGACCATTTACTTCAATGCAAAGATTGCACCGTCGGGTCATTAACTTGCCAACCCTTTGGAATATTCCGGGAATAGCTTCTACATGGGTACAACTCTGCAGTATCCTTGCTAACAGATCTTCCCTCATTACGAACAGGTGTTTCGTATACTAAACTTTTCAGTCAATGACCCGACGGTGCAATCTTGGCATTGAAGTAAATGGTCAACATTTTGAACAATTATTGTTAACCATAATTGATTTGTTAATAAAGCAAATTTAATAAGTAAACAGTGATTTGATTATTGCGAAGAATGAAAACAGTTTTTTTACTCTACAGCCCAAATGGCTCATTTGCGGACATATGTTTATATAAACAAAAATGCTTGTTTTGATGTCCCCTACTACCTCCTAAAGTTTTTCGGTATCTTTTTGGGCCACCCTGTATATAGCGACTGCGCTATGTTTAGACATAAAAGTAGAAGTTTTCTTTATGACGTTTATGTGACGTTTATTTTAAAACTGAATTTGACCAATTTGACAAATAATCTCAACTTCTAATATTAGGTAACTGGTAACTATCAACATAATATACAGCGAACCATAGACGATTTCGCCACGTTTCGGTTGGTAGGTAAATTGGTTAACCGCTAGGTAGGCTCTTCGTCACAACAGTGACGTCGCATACCACTTTCAGCCGAAATCGGTCGGTTTGTCAAATGTCACGTTTATGACGTGATGGTGATGGTATGCCTGAGAAAATAAAAATAAACAAAATACTGAATACTTTTTATTGTTGGAAATTAAAATTGGGAATAGTGGAAATTATTGTATTTATTTGTTGTGTACTATTTCAAATATAAACAAAAAAGTGAGGTTAAATAACTGCAAATTAGAGAAAGATAGCAAGCTACCAATTCAAATAACCGTGCTCCAAGCTCGGTACCCAATTTGACATACCAAAATGGATACCAAAGTTATCGTGACGTCATTGTTTTTCGTGTCGAAATTGCTTGGTACATTTTTGACCAACCAAAGTGGGTTACCAAAACGTGGCGAAATGGTCTCATATCAGAGTCAGTCATAAGTTAAACGCCGCGTCGATGACTAGTTAAGCTTGAATGTGGATCCGAAAACTAGCTCATTCAAACATCAAATTATACTATAAAATAATGATTTATTTTTCAAAATTTCCTTGTATAAAATATCTTAAAACTAAAAATTATGTGGCAATCATTAATCAATAATTGAACTGAGTACCCTAATTTTAAACTGTCAATTTTTTTATTAACAAATAATTTTTGGTTTTTGACCTTGGCTTATTAAGTTAACAAAATAATAAATACAATTTAGAGAAATTGAAACAAATTTTTTAGCTGCTTTACTGCCATATAAAAATATTTCTTAGAAAAATATATTCAAATAGAAAGTTCTATATTCGGTTATCTTCACAATTGACATCCATGCACACTAAAATTAAACAAATAATAAGGCTTCTAAAATATAATTAATAACCTACAATAAAAATAAATGCATATTAAAGGGATTTCAAAATATATATTGTATATACAGTAAGTAAATCATTTCGGAAACAATTTTTTTTGAAAACCGATATATATATCACAATAAAATCAAAATTAACTAGAAAGAGAACATACTATAAATATTTTTGATTTCCGAAAAACAGAACGAAAAAGTTAATTTGTTAAAAAGTCTCTCAGTCAAAGTTTTTTTTCGTTTATAAAACGAAATAAAGACTTTGTAAGCTCTACTACACGTTAATTATCCATCTAGTGAATAATGTCACTAATATTATCGACGTCCACAAATTTTTGGTTTTTGCACTGTCGCTCTTTAAATGGTTGGGCTCCAAAGGATTGTCTGTATAATTTGAATCATGATGAGCGCCTAAAGAAGTGGAAATAATTAAAAAATGCAAATTTTACTATCTAGAAAACTAAGTATGTAAAAATTGACACAAAAACAATACAAAATGTCAGTCATCCAACATTAAACAAAACATGATATGAATTTTTGTTTTCAAATAAAATAAATAATATATAACTTAAATTATAAAAATGAAAAAGACGGCACATACTTATACAAAAAAAAAATGGTTCCATGGACGTCACAACCAACCCTTATATCATTCTCACTGCCTGCTGGGGGCCCTCCGGTAGTTTTCTGGAAGAATGTAGCGACGCCGGTTATACATTGCCCGAAGGATACGATTAACTGATAATAAATACACCGGGTTAAGCTAGTTACACTGCCCCAGAAGCTTGAGATTTGTGTTTAATGTCTTTAGTTAGTTTATTATTGCTGGGTATAGTCAATCATATCCAGCAATAACAACAACTATACAGACTTAAAAATAATAATATACAAAAACTAAAGAAATAATCTACCTACAACACAAAACTACTATGTACAGTGACGTGCGAGGCTCAGCAGGCATTTTTTTTGTCTATAAACTATAGCCGTGCAACCATTCAATTTAGCTCCTACACAAAGGAATCGGGTTAAGGTAGAGTTAGTTTGGGTTAGCGTGAAAAAATCAATTCAGTGAGTTACACACAAAACTATTTACAACAACACAGTTAAAGTAGTCATACATACTTGATGAAGAGAGTGATACGTCATTGTTAATCAATTAATAATTATAACATTATGGGTATAATGAAAATAATTTTGTTATTATCAAGATCATGAAGGGCGTTATTTCCTACCTGCATCCATGTCAAATCCGTTTTGATCGTCCAATGGTATCGTACCACCCTCTTCACCTTGTAACCATCCTCTGGACTCACTGGTTCCGACGGTTCCAGCTGGCGCATCCTGACAACCGAACCACCAATAAGCTGTGGATCTTGGAAAAGCTGGCGTTGTCTGATCGACAGCGAACGCTCTATCATTAAACCTAGAAAAAAATCATCGAATTAAGTTTCAAATTTTTAAGATAAATTCTTACCTATAATAAGCTCCATTTTTGTAGAAATACGTATAGCCGTTTGTCCACTGGAAAGCAGCGTCCATGTTATCAGGAATACCTTCCCAGTTTGATATAAGTTTAGGATAAGTGCTTTTCACTGGAGGCCTTTGAGATGGATCGAACCTCCAAAATTTACTGCCTTTGAAAAAGTAAATTTTACCATTTCCACTCCACACCATTGCTGCGTCTAAATCATTGGGAATGTTGGTGAAGCCTTCGGAAATGTCTTTGGGGTAGTCTCCGTCCATTTTACGTCCTTTATACCTAAAATTTGGATGAGTCAGAAAAATATAAACACCAAGGCTAAAATCAAACCTCCAATATTTTGATCCCTTGAAGAAATAAGTCTTGCCATTCTTGTAAGTAAAAGCTGCATCGATGTTTCCAGTCAAACCGGCCCAACCATCGGAAATCGATTTTGGGTATCCTGGTGCAATGCTCTCCTCAGTCAGTCTCCAGTATTTGTCGCCTTTGAAAATGTATGTGTAACCTTCTGCCGAGTTGAAAATCGTGTCAAATTTAGGATCTTTGCACAGAGAAGTATCTTGGGTACCGCCTGAAATGTTTAAAATTGGATTATTTCTATGATTTGAATAGTGTTAATTTTAATTACCTTCATTTGGTCCAGGTGATTTTTTGGGCACATCCTGGCTCTCGTCGACGCCAGCGTCATTATTGTAAGACGGCGTGGGCTTTTTCGTTTTCTTGCCGTAGAGGGCTTGAATTCCGTCGACGTCGTCCTGATCCAGGGTGAAGGTAGGATCGTAGCCTCTGTAGAACGGCGCCATGAGGGCCGATCTGACATCGGAATGACTCAGACCCAAGGAATGGCCGAACTCGTGCGCGGCTACTTGGAAAAGGTTCGTGCCTCTGTAGCTGTTGATCGACCAGCTTTCTGTGGCATCGAAATGGGCGTCACCGCCGAAGACCTAGAGATTTAGCTTTATGAAATATATATTTTTATGGAGAGAGAACTGCTGCGAATCATATACAAGAGGGTTGTGTCGTTTCTAAATCCTCCTAGATTATGCAATACGATTTTTGGGTAGTGAGACGATGATGAGAATCAAGTTCTTGTCGTACAGAGGCTACGAGTTACAGACCAGTTTCAGAGATAGTAAGGGGTGCCATCTCTGATAAAATATTCGATTAGTTTCGTTACATTTTCATCAAAATACATTTTATATGATAATATTTTAATTAGTTGAGGACAAAAACACGTTGTCATGATTTTAGACGACGTATGGATGACTAGTTGGCATCTTCTTCAGAGCTACAATGGAAAGTTGGATCCCTCTGCTATGGGTATGTAGATCATGGGGGGAGTCGTTTCGGCTTTCCAGCCGCTCAGCACTGCTACCTTTGAAGATATTTTATACGCGACTCTATATCTTAAATTGCCTCCAGGAAGCGTAGACTTCTGCCGAAGGAAGCTATTTTTCTGGGTGTCAGTTGGTCCACTTCTTCTGGTGACAGTGTTGCCCCCTCGAGGAATTTGAGTCCCTTGCAGAATTGGGCTGGACATTCGCAGAGCAGTAGCTCTGCGGTCTCTATTGCGTCTGAGCAGAATCAGCAGAGATCGTCTTCTGCTCTGCCCATTAACCTTAAGTGGTATTTCACCAGGCAGTTTTCTGTGAGTAGTCCTACGATCATTCTGATGTCTGGCCTGCTCATGTTTAGGAGCTGTTTAGCTCTTTTTGCTGAAATGGTGGTAAACCTTTTTGACTGTCTTAGTCTCGGAGTATGCCTCCAATATGATGACTGTTGGTCTCTCTCCCATTTGTTGAGTTCTTCCATGAAGTGGCTTTTCATTAAGTCACAATAGGGCTCTGGTCCATGGTATGGTGTTGAGGCCCCTTATTTTGCGAGGCCATCTGCTTCTTCGTTTTCTTCTATGCCTCGATGACCAGGCAGCCACATCACCGTTACCTGGTTGTGTGTCGCTTGTGCTTTTAGGGTCTGCTTACACTCTCACGCTAGTTTTGAACTGCATTTGAAAGCCCTTAAGGCTTTTAAGGCAGCTTGGCTATCTGATAGTATGAAGATGTGTTTTCCTTTGAGGTTTTAGTTAGGACACTCTTAAGCACATATGTTAACGACAAGCAGTTAGGCTTGAAATATTGTAAGATGTTTGCCCAATCCCTTGATTAGCTTGAAGTTAGGGCCGGAAATGCCCAGTCCAGCTCCTTCCGTTAGTTTGGATCCATCTGTTTACCACAGAGTTGCATTGTCTGCTTGTGATAATTCTTTATTCTCCCATGACTGGCGCTGGTTTAGTACCACTGCGAATGGGATCTCTAGTCCAATCTGACCATCATGTGGTCACTTGGTTTGCTGGCATTCTCCAGTTTTAATATTTCAAAGATGCGCAGATGTCCCTCAGATCACCAGGCTTGAACTTGTCTGTTTGGAATAGCCTATAAGCGCTGATTATTGCCTCCTTTTTCACACATAGGTGAAGTGGAGACATGTTAAACAGCGTCTCTAGGGCTGCGGTGGGGCAGGTCGACATTGCTCCTGTTATTCCTAGGCATATCCAGTCTTTGGACCTTGTTTAGTTTGATCTGAGGGGTGACTTGCTGAGTTTTGGGCCACCATACCAATGAGGCGTATATAACCATGGGCTTTATTATAGTTTGGTGAATCCAGAATACCATCTTTGGCTTTAGCCCCCATGTTTTACCAACCAGTTTGCGGCATGACCAGATGGCTGATATAGCTCTAGAGCATGTTTTCTCTAATTGTTTGTTCCAAGTGACTGTTTGGTCCAGAGTGACCCCCAAGTATTTCACTTCGTTGGAAAAAGTATTGTACCGTTAAGGGTGGAAACTTTTAAATTTAGCTTGCTTCTTCTTGCAAACGGTACAAGAATTATTTTCCTTGGATTTGGGGATAATCCCTCGCCTTCGCTTCAATTTTTAACGATGTTTAGAGCACTTTGCATTCGGTTGTTATTACGCCTTCATGTTTCAGGTCATCTGCATAGCCTAGGTATGTACAGGGTGGTCTAATTTGGACACTTTAAATAGGAAAAGTCATAAACATATGTATAAAGCACATAAAATGAAACCACCAACATTAAGCATTAGAAACATTACAGTCCACAAAGGTGTAATAATGTTATTAACATGAAATGTTTCCTCGATAAAGCACCTGTAAGCACACAACAAAAGCAAAAAAACATTGAGCATTTTTAATTGGACCTAACTTGAATGACTTCCATTTTTGTCTCGGTTAGAATTTACAACAAATTAACGTATAAGTTACGTCCAATCAAAAAAAAAAAAAACACACAAGACACACACTTACTTTTCCTGGATGAACTGAGGGATACTGTGGATAATATGTGGGCGTGTTTGGATTGTGCCATTGCCTAAAGGTGAACCATGGATTGTATTGACGCGACGTCACCCAACTTCCACCCAAACCATTATTACCAGCGAAATAATATTGTCTGTAGTTTTGTGACTGTCGATGCTGATGGAAACTGTACGGTGATGTTAAGTAGTTTTGCTCTGGTGGCTGTGTAATGTATGGGTTTATGTGGTGTGATTTTTTTGTGGGTTAGTTACCATGCGTGTATATATGGAAGCATTAAGCAAGTACATTTTGATCTATGAAGCAAATTATGTTAACATTGCATTCAATGGGTTTTAGCTAGAGGTTCATTTGGGAAAAGTTAAGCAAATTTGGTTCTTGGCCTGCTCTTGTTGCTTCTAAGTATCTGATTACACATTGCTCTTAGTAAACGTTACAGTTTCTGTTTTAAGTAGTTCCGAACAAATACCCGCTCTACAATAACTAATTAAATACTGCATTTCAGCCAATTTACTTATAACAATCTCTTCAATTTTCAAACGAAATTCTTACCGGGAAATAAGCGTGCGCTAAAGTACCACCAGGCCCATCGAATGGATCGCCGTCTCCATGTTCGCCACTTTCGAACCGAATTTCAATGTGAACTTGGCCAGATTTGGCAGTGAACGTTAAATCGGTATAGTCTGCCCACACGTTGAAGGCACGTTGAACTTCTGCGTCGACATCTTTGCGCTTGAGTTTCGGTGGGTACTTTGAAACTTTGTAGCTGAGGTTTTTCACTTTCCATCTACTACCTGTAATTGGGAATTTATTTAAATGGAAAAATATCAGCTGTTTGAACAAATTTCCTCCCAATGATGATTTGTTTAACTCAAATTAGTGATTAGTTAGCATGACCAGAAAGCCTTCGTTACTACTCAAAGAAAAACATATTCTCGGCTCAGTCTGGTATAATAATAATTATTATTCCTAAGCAGTTTTCAGGACGATAACATCATCTACATCGTTCAGTGACCAACAATAAAACAGGCCTCTTTTAAATAAAATCTTCCTCAAGATAACGTGACAAGTTTTGTGAATTATGATCTTAGAGAGTAAAAGTTTAGACTAGATTTCCAGTCAAGGTTAGAGCTTTAAGAAGATACAATATAATTTTAAATTATATTACGAACACTTAAATTGTATAATAATTAGCATTATAATTTCTAGAAACAATGATCGCATGACATAGTTAACGATTAACGGTATTACTGATGTATGAATTTGTTTATTTTTATAAGTCGTTTCTTACCTTGTAAAGCGTATCTTTTCGCCCTATTGTCACCGGTTCCTACTTTGTCTTTCACACCGCACCTTGGCAATGTCATTGTTTCTAAAGTCTTATCATCTAGCTCCCCTAAAAAACAATTTTTGGGTTAATAAACTGTAATTATCTTATTAATTATTATTCAAATTTTTCACCATCATCACACATTTATTAAAAGATATTGCAATTTTGCAATAATATATGTAATTAACTGTTTCGATGCTGGTAGTAGCCTTAACCTAGTAATGTATAAATCATGTATTTTTTTGACCTAACAATGACAAAAGTATTGAAGTCAATAATTAAGTAAAGTATAGGCACATCAAACTTAATTTGTTTCCTTACCTGTAACATCTAATCCTGCGAAACTTTGGAAATCTTCTACGGCTTTCCTAAAACTACTTTCGTCTAAAAGTTGACTAGAATTGGCTTTCACTGGTCCTAAGTATCCGTATTGGGAGAGGTACAGCTGCAAAGAAAAATCAAATCTTATAATGGCACGAGTTAAACAGCATTGTCATCGACCCAAATTAATAAGTCTAAGCATAATATAGTAATTTGTCAATTTAATTTTTCTCAAAATATTTACAGGAAGGTTCAAAACATTGGGATACAAAGAAAGTATTGTATTGATATGAAGTTTGCAATGAAGAAAAGACAGCATTGGGATGATTGGACTGGATACATTGCAAGATAATAAAGCGGAAAAAGGACTGAGATGATGCTGGAGTGGAGATCCAGAACTTACCATAAAAGATGAGTTGAGTGACCACAGATAGTCAAATGACATTAGAAAAATATAGGAATTATGTGAAAACATTATAAAACAAATCAAAGACTGGAAAGTTAACAGAATAGAAAATATTTTTAAAAAAAATAGAATAGAAAATTATCGCCGGATATCGTGTATTGAGCTTGATGCTCCAGACATTCAAACCCAAATTTATTCACTTCTCTTTTTCAAAATATGATGTTTATATTGATCTCTTACACTAGTTAGTTAATAATGTATTTGTTTAAACAATACCAGAATGCTTTATAATCAATTTTGTCCAAAATTTCTTTTAATATTGAAATTTCTACCTCGACTTCCCTATTCGCAAATATTTATTTTCCACATTCAGCAAACATTAATATTTTTATTAGCATAATAGTACTACTTATCAACCTTGAAGACAAACATATTTTTTCTATAAAAATCTCAAACTCTCGGCCAATAAATAATAAACCCAACCTGACTCAACCAACAGGTTACGGGTAGATCCCCAAGCTATTACTCATACATTTCGTAGAATAATCAGCCGAATAAGGGAAAAGTCACCAAGTGGGCGTCCTTTTACGATATTCAATCTCGTTCATTCATTGATTGAATCACTTGGTTACCAGTACCAGAAGAAAGGCACGGCCTTAATAATAAATCTTGCCGTGGGTCAAGAATTAGAAATGTTCTTGGTAGCTGTTAAAGATTCATCTAAATGATAGTGATTCATTGTGCCAAAATAATCACTCTTACTTGTTTGCAGAATAATAAAACATCAAACCTTATAACAACCAAGGTCAATGTTACTATATTCATGTGTGTACTTTGGTACATCACAAAATAATTGATGGTTATCTTCAAGTTAAATGTACCTATGTGAATTTTTATAAATTTAAGAGGATATACCATTTTACACACAAAAGATGTGACATTAATAATCTTGTGATTCAATTAATCGATGTGAATTAAAATAATTACAGATTAGGAACTGACGTCCTTCAGCCAGGCAACCACAAACTAATATTAATGTCAATCCGCTCATTAAATCTGAATAATAATTGGAAGAGCTTTTTATTATTAATGTTTATTTTCCGCTATTTGAAAAATCGTGCACGATGTTTGTTTCTAATAACGTTGTTTCGGCGGAAAATGGGCGTTTGAAGTAATATGGTATTTTATACACGTGTGTGTAACGGATAATTTGATTCCGAGGCGAATAAATGCGATCTTGTATTCATGTTTATGTTTTTCCTCATGGATGATAATGCTTGTGGAATTTTAATACAATTTTTTTGCTTGGAACTTTATCGATGATTTATTATTGATATTTTAACGAATTAACATCAATGCGTAAAAGGTGCACTACCGGTGCGTGAATATTGAAGAATTCATGAGAATTTTGGAGATTTCTCGGTTGATTGGTTTTGTATATGAAGCCCTGCAGTCTGACTAAGGCAATTATTGCATAGAAGTTAAGCAGTAGGTTAGGAGAATTACCAACACTTTGTCACCTATAACTACCGGAAATAATTATTTACACATTCACTACAAGATGATTCATATAAATTCTACACAAAACATATTGCCAAAAGTCAATAATCAATAATTAAAATACAATAACCATTATTTATTTAAAGACCATTATAATGTCTAGCTAGTGGAAATGGTACTTTGGCACTAAAAACATGAATCATATATTATTATCCTACCATTCGGAAATAATTAATATTCAAACCGCAACCGTATGTAATATGCGTATATTAAGGTACATCTAAATAAATATAAGTTTTGGAACAAAGAAAAATTAAAACGACAAAGATCGCTTACAAATTATCAATAATAATCGATTTTGATTTTAGGATTTAGGCTATAGACACACAGTCAAGGTTAGTTTAATAGGAACATCTCTTATCAGCCTCAACAAACTTAAACTAATTATTATTAACAAAAATTGTAAACAATCACGTCAGTTCTGATGTTTGTTTACTCGACTATCATTGCAGCAATCACTATCAATGTAGGTGTAACTTACTTGTTATAGGATTGACTTTGGGTTAATATTTGAAATAAGATAACGGAGATAATGATATTGTTGAGATTTGGTTACTTCTTCTTCGTTTTCAGCTACCTTGTTTGCCCTTCTGTCGCCAGATTTGGGTTGGTTTAGGTACATGCATTACCTCTCTGGGGAGCCATGCTAGTTTGCGAAAATATAGCCACCAAGCAGTAGCTCCAAACTGCAGTCGCCTCCATCAAGCCTTGGGAGGGAGCTTCTTTAAATATGGTAGAGGGAATCTGACATTCCTCACTATGACGTCCTGGTTGCTCAATTCCCAAGCAGCATCGATTACTCCACGGAAAAATCCTCAATCTCTTCCAAGGCCAAAATGAGGGCCTAAACGTTAAAAATTGGCGAATCATCTGACCTAACGCCAAGGGCCACCTGGTCACATTAACTCTTCCTGTGGACAGTGCATCCGCAGAAAAACTCAAATCCGCAGGCTACGTGGTAAATTCGGTCATAGGATTATAAAACCGCAAAACAGCCGGAGCATAACAGCTGTGGAGCAACCAAGCTCCGCAAAGAAAAGCAGCGCCGAACCAAAGGCAGACACGTCTAAAGACCCGATGAGTCATAAAGACAAAAGTGTCCGGGGTCCGAAAACTGAATGCAACTCTAATGGTTTTCCCCAAGCAACCAAAGAGAAGCAACTCACCAAGCATCAAATAAATCTTCAACACTCAAAAGCTGCCACTAGTGAGCTTAGAAGAAGAATCTTTGGACAGAAAATCAACATAGGGCTACTTCGAGAGTCCTAGGTCAATGGAGGCTCTATAAAAGGCCTATATATTATATCATGTAAGTTAATCTACAATATTAACCACGAAAGACAAAAATATAAAATTCTTACCTGTTCCAGAGTTCATCACTCAAGACTTGGCAGCTGCTTTAGTAGAAGTGCCAACGGAGGGGGGCTCAAGGGCCGCATTCTTGGTAAAGAAAATATTGCTCATACAGTCCGTTTTTGAAAAATAAATATACTGGTTGTTTCAACAGACACACCCCAGAATTCCACACCATAATCTCGGCCTACTTTCCAGGTGATGACAAGTCAGCACTGCCAGAGATTGTCCAACGACTCATCACGTGGTGCAGAGCGAGAAACAGACACTACATTATCGGGGCAGACGCCAACGCCCATCACCAGGTAGGATGGGGAAGCACCGATACAAACTTAAGGGGTGAGTACCTTTTTGAATATGTGAATTCTAACAACATATACATTATCAACAAAGGTAACAAACCCACTTTCATTAACGCCGTCAGACAAAAGGTCTTATTTGAAAAATAGTTACTACCATTGTACAATTTGACAGAACTTAATATTGACAGTTAACTTCAAGAGCCGGGAATAAGCAAAAAAGTCTTTATTGTTTGTGGAATCGACAGTTTGTCATCGGACCTACTTTTCTAATCATTGAGAGTAACAAGAGACTTTCTAGAAAGATATGCCATTAAGTTGGCGACAAATGCACAATTATTTGACAAATACTTCGTTGTACAATTTGACAGAAGTAATAATTGGCAGTTAATTCCAAGAACCGGGAATAGGCGAGGATTGATTGAAAGAGGTTTTTCTTATTAGTTGAATTAACAGTCCGACCTCGGCCCTCCTTTTCCAATCAATGATAATGCTAAGAAACTTTCTGGAAAAATATGCAATCAAGTTGGTCATGGATTGACATATGCACAGTTATTATTTGACAAATACTCCGTTGTACAATTAAACAGAGGTGACCATTGACAATCAACTTCAAGAGCCAGGAATAAACAAAAATTGATTGGAAAGAAATCTTTATTAGATATTCGTGGAATTCACAGTCCATCATCGGCCCTCCTTTTCTAATCAATGAAAATAACAATGAGACTTCCTGGAAAAATACGCCATCAAGTTGGCCATGGATTGACACATGGAAAATTATTTAAAAAAAAAGTTAACTGCAAGAGCCGGGAATGATGACAGTTAGAAGCTCTTACAGTTCGTTTGAAGTCAGTTTTGACCTCATAACTTCAACATCAAGTTCAATAGTATTTTGAGTTGACGTTCAAAAGTTGGCACTCCTGTGAGTTTTGGATATTTTTTTCCTCATTCGCTCTAGCATACTGAAATTTCATAAAGAAAAAGCCAAGGATTACTAAAATTTGATTTTTTAAACGTACGAGTACAATAACTGATATTTCTATTATGTGACCTTTATTCACATTCTCAATTTTTTTTCCCAAAAGTTGGCACTCCTGGGAGTTCCGAATATTTTTTTCTTTATTCAGCAAATTTTCAGCTCTAATATACTAAAATTCCATAGAAAAAGAGCCAAGGATTACGAAATTGTGATTTTTAAAACGTACAAGTACTGTAACTAATATTTCTACTACGTGACCTTTATTCACATTCTCGATTTTTTTTCTCAAAAGTAGGCACTCCTGGAGAGTTCCGAATATTTTTTTCTCTAATCAACAAGCTTTTAGCTCTAATATACTGAAATTTCATAAAGAAAAAGCCAAGGATTACTAAAATTTGATTTTTTAAACGTACGAGTACAATAACTGATATTTCTACTATGTGACCTTTATTCACATTCTCGATTTTTTTTCCCAAAAGTTGGCACTCCTGGGAGTTCCGAATATTTTTTTCTTTTATCTCTAACAT